TGCCCCTCTGAACTTCAATTCAGGAAAAAAAAATTCAAAACTAAATTTGGAAATGGTTCTGGCTGTTTTTTCTTGATTAGACTTCTGATGGAAGCCAAATTTATATGCAGTAGGTCTCCTACTGGTAAAACAGACTGTGGCATTTAACTGCCTAGACCATTATCTGAGATCGTGCTTCATTAGCAACAATATCATGGGAAAGGTGAGTTGTGGCTTGGGGGATGTGCTGTAAATACGAATCCACTAATATTTTTGAATTTCCCACTCATACTTTATATTCCCATGGAAGATACTATATCCTTAATATTTGCTTTCTATTTCTTGGTAGGTGAGAAGGCTTTCAAGTGTGAGATTTGCTCTTATACCTTCATTGATGCAAGCTCCCTGCAGCAGTGTTTCTGAACATGTGAGAGGCCCTGCAAATGCTGACTCTGTTCATACAGTCGGTGTCAATAATCCCCCTGTCAGGCAAATTCTGTAAATCTGATGGCTTTTAAAAAGCAACAGTAAAACCCTCACCCTAATTTCACACATTTAAATATATTCCTATTGGGAGCTTGTCTCTAAGAAGGCTTTTTTATTTAAAGGGATTGCTTTCTGTCCCCTCTTTACAACTCTGTATATAACTACTGCAAAGACTGTCCTAGAAGATGTATGGAACACTAATGTGGAACACAGTTGGGGTTGTTCAGCCTGGAGAAGAGAAGGCTGTGTGGAGACCTCATAGCAGCCTTCCAGTATCTGAAGGGGGGCTATAGGGATGCTGGGGATGGACTATCCATTAGGGACTGTAGTGACAGGACAAGGGGTAATGGGTTAAAACTTAAACAGGGAATGTTTAGATTGGATATAAGGAAGAACTTCTTTACTGTAAGGGTGGTGAGGCACTGGAATGGGTTGCCCAGGGAGGCTGTGAATGCTCCATCCCTGGCAGTGTTCAAGGCCACGTTGGACGAAGCCTTGGGTGGCATGGTTTAATGTGGACAGTCCCTGCCCATGGCAGGGGGGTTGGAACTAGATGATCTTAAGGTCCTTTCCAACCCTAACTATTCTATGATTCTATAAATACAAAAATACACAGTAGAAGGCAGTGATATATCTGTGTCTGTACGTGCAGGGTACTGGGACAAATAGTAGTGACTTGCATAAAAGCAAAAATGTGTTCATTCACTAACTGTATGTCCTAATTTGCTGTATAAGGGGCACCATGCTGCTTTTTCACAGTGATTCTGTTGTAGTGTTTTGATTCCACCTTCCTGCTCCTGCCAACTGAGGAAATGCTTGCATTTCTGACACTGCTAATACTTTTCATTTTGCAGTGTTGGCAGCATGTGTCATGTGATGAGTGGGAGCATTAGCTAGTCTTAGTAAAGCCTAAGTACATATTGAAAGTATGTACTTAGCAGCCTTAGAGGCTGTTTAAATGTTAAATTCTTATGTCTTTAAACTCTGTACACTGAATGATGTACTGTTTGCTTTGGGGTTTTTTAAACTCAGAAGGTTTAAACTAAGATAAACTAATGTTCACAAGTCACTTCTTTAGGTTTCTTTTCATTGAGAATTTTTCAGTGTTCAGTATTGGAATAACAGGAAAAAATAATTTTTCCTAATTTTGGTTGCAGATGTGTAAAAATTCAGAATTGTAAACATTATCCAAATGCTGTAACAAATGAGGGAAGTTTGTAAAATTGAATGGTTGCTTATTAGAAAGACAAATATTTGTTTGCAGATATTTACTTCTAAGAAGTATCAAAAATGTCCTAATTCATGAGCAGAAGAAAATAGTGGTTGAAGAACTTGAGGGGTATGATAGCAGTGAACTCCACAGAGTAGACAGTGGAACAGTGATAGCCTATTACTCTTTATGCATTACTGTAGTAGGCGTAGGAAATACAGTTTTTAGTTACAGGATACAGCTAAGCCTGATAGGGGCTGTAATTCAGCAAGTTCTGAGTTCTGTACTGCTAAAAATCTGTTTTTTAATAAACCATTCTAATACCTGTCACAGTATTTTATCTCTTTCTGCAGTATTACTTTACAAACATTTTTCATTTACTTGTGATAAGCCAGCCCTTCTTGCAGGGATCAAAGATTTTGTTGCTTGCAAATTACCAATGTGCCTTCTTCGGACAGGCTTCTTCGTAGCCTGCTTTGCTCCCTTAGATGCACATTAGCTATCATAACGTAAACACTTGCACATTCAACTTTTGCTGTGGAACTAATTCCATTTGAAGTTCATAAAACTGTTCTTTAATAAATTAAAAAAGAGAGTCCTATGAGATCAGGAAGTGAATGCTTTAACAAATGTCTGAAACTGCTGGTTTCTTGTATGTGAAATCTCTACTTACAAAACATTTAGTTGCTGTGTGCATAATGGTCCATACATAAATAGTTTGGTTGTTTGAAATTACCACTTGTGAAACAGTTTGCCTGAACTGGGTAAATACAGTTAAGTTTAGGTTTTTTTTCTTAAGTAATCTATTTCAGGTCTGTACCAGATTTTTTAAGCACACTGGAATATAACGCACTCTGATTCAGAATTGTATCAAAAATACAACAGAATGTAAGAATACTAAAGAAGAAGAGGACAGAAAAAGACCCAACCCTTTTCCAGTCCCTAAGCACGTACTTCACACTCACACAGAACCCCTTGACTGATTCAGTGGGCTGTATTCAAAAGTGAGGTGTAAAGGGTAGAAATCACATGCAGACCTGAGTGTAAACAAGACTAAGGATGGCATAACTGCAGTGGTGAAATATACAGAAAAGTGTAATCTCTAAACTTTCCCAGTATTCTAATTTAGTTTGTGAATAAATACATATTGTTTGCTGTTATTCAGTTAGAAAAAAGTTTATTCAGGCTTTCACCTTGTGCTTTACGTTCATCAGATATATTGAGTGAAAAAATACAGTGAACTCTCCAGTGGAAACTGATCATCAAAATTCAGTATTACAGTGAAATTTTAATTTTAAAGTGCATCCCTCTGTATCAATATGTGTATATATTTGTGTGTATATGTATAATGAGCTGAAGACTTAAAATGTGTATGTAACTATGCTGTTCACAGCAGTCTTTTTACTTTAAGGCTTTGTCTTATCAAGAGCTTAGAGCTATGTAGAAAAAGAAACCTAAATTTGCTTGGGGTATCTGTCTTGCTTAGTGACGTGGAAGAGTCAGATAACTCCTTTTGATGATGCAGAATCCGACAGGCTCACATTTTTGGTAGTTTTGCTGTCAAAGACTACAAGAGGATTTCCTTAAAGTTGGTGTTCCTGATTATGACAGGGAGAGTTCTGTGCTTCTTTAATAAGAATATATGGGAAAATATTTCATCATTTGTGTAAATCTTACCTTGAAAACACAAGGTTTTCTATGTCTGTGTAGTAAAATAGTTTCGTACATGCCAGATAGCAAAAAATGTAATTGGTTTAGGTGTAAGGGGAAAGGAGGGTTAGGGTATCCTTTTCTGATGTAGTGTACTTTAAGAAGGTCTAGAGTCTTCTGCTTGTTGCATTCATACAAATACCACCATCACCTGAGTACTACAACCCTGAATGCAGGAAACCCATGAATATTTGCAGCACCAACCTTGAGGTTTTTAAGCTGGTATGGTATATGCATTGTGAAGTCTAAGAATTAATTTTAGCCAATTTAGTTGTGTAATCTGACCTTTTTGTGGACCCCCTTCTATACTCAGTGGAGAATGGTGGGCATTCCCACAAGACATCTTAATTTCATATGAGACATTAGTTAAATGTGTGGGCTAATTCACCCCCGTTAGGGTTACTTACTGCCTGCCTACAGTTAACTTTACAGAGGAAATCTAGAGTAGACACCCGTTGGCAACATTATGCAGGATGAATCCTCTTGTAGGTGGTGGTTTTAATTTCCTAGCTCATAGGGCTGCAAACAGTTGTTGCCAAAATAAACAGATCCTCAGTATCTGTTTAAGGAAAGCCTTACATTCAAGGAAGCTACCATTACAAATTGGTCAGTTTTGAAATATGATTGTTTGATGTTAGGTAACAAGTGCTGAGACTAACCCACAAGTCTCAGTTCTCTTGCAGCCTGTATACAGCTGTATTCTGGGTTGGCCTTGTATGAGGGAACTGCCAAAATCTAAAGATTTAGGTTCTATATTTGCTATTCCCTTGAATGTGAAAGAACTGAGGTTTTGGATCAGGTGATAATTCCACTATCTCAGGGCAGAATTTAGACCCATAGTATGTAGCAGACCTCACATTTTAATGTAGAATGAATCATGGACAGTATTGCTGTTATGGTTACTTTCTTTATTTTGAAGTATGTCCGTGTCATAACGTGAACTAAGTGGGTTGAAATGACAAATGAAAGGTAGAACTTTTTGGTATATTCAGACTGGTTTGCAGCTTTCATGACATTAAGCTGGAATTATATGCAGATACACACGCACACACAAATGTGTGCGTATCTGGTGTGCGTGGCTGCATGCTGGTGCAATACTTACATTAAGGATGTAAATGCATATAAGGTCCTGTTAAAAGGTAAATTGGGGCACTTGGCCTTATAGGAGTTTAGGTACCTATTGCATGTATGAAGGTTTTATTTTTGAAGAGTAGATATATCCACATTTGCACAACTGAAAGTGAAGTAGAAACACTGCTGGAAGCATGGTGCAGGCTCCACTAATTTACTCCAGTGGCTGGAAAAAGAACAGTGAAAGGTGTTACCTTGCTTGAGATGACAAAGAGACATATTTTAGGTCTAGAAACCCTCAGTTGGGCATACAGCTAGCTGTAAGTGAAATCATTGAGCTATGGCTCAGGAGGGCTGTGTTCTGATCTAGCTTTTGCCATTAGACAGAGCCACAAGATCTTGCTAGGGATGACTCATACCCTCACCTCTTGTTTGGCTATTTTGGATTTCTGAACACTCCAAATACAAACTGCCAGGCTGTGCTTGTGCACTGCTCACTGCTACTGATAGTACTAATGACTGATACATTTTTAATTTATTACAGCATTCAGAAGAAGAGCTTGGATCTTCACATATCCTGACATCACACTGGTGAGGTGTGGTTTTTGCTGCTATTCTTCTGAGAAACAGCTTCTCCAAAAACACATTAAGAAAAATCACCTAGGTTCAAGAACTTTCTTAACCAGCTCCCAGCTCACTTTTACCCTCAGATCACTTCCTGTGGAAAATTAGGTTCTTCATGCTTAAACTTCCACCAGAGCATCCCTGCGAATAAGGAAGCTGTTGGCGTTGTCACACTTCTGTGCTGAAAGCCAGGGGTTATCTGGAAGAAGAAACAGTCCCTATGCGGCAATTAAAAGCACTTAGAATGGTCTTCCCGAAAGCCTTCTGTGTATTTTGGGGCAGGTGGAAACTCCAGTGTGCTGAGAGGAGTGTGAAGATTTGTGTTGCACAAAGGTGGACATGTTGATTTTTTGTTCTGGTTACCTCTTGCTGATATATTCTGCTTACTTACAAATGAAGAGTTTGACATTTGAAGGCAGAATCTGTTGAAATGTACCAAAGCTGACAGTGAACACTACTGGTTGTTTCTGTACTACATCTCTTATTTTTGATACGGGTCTCTACATAAATTATATATATATATTTAAATATATATATAAACATATATACAAGTAAATTGTTAAAAAAAAATCTACTGATGCTGTAGGACTCAATGTGGTAAAAAAAAATCCTGAAATGCCTTCGTATTTATTTATTTTGTAACAAAATGTGTCTATTATCATAAGCTGACCCATTGTTGAAGTAAAAATATAAACTATTGAAATGTGACATCACATAAACTGTACCCTATTCAGCCAAATAGATATTGCTCACTTTAGAAGATCAAATTAGAAGAATGATATACTTTCTAATTTTAGGCTGTTAGAGGACTGATTTTACTCCATGACTGCACATTTGTTCTTTGACTATGGTGGTTTTGTAGAGTCTGTTATCAGCTATAAATGTTTCTCAGAAAATGTAACTGTTGCTAAAAATAAAAAAGCTAATATCACAACTTCCTACCAGACAGAAGCAAATAGTGACTGAAGTGCATGTACGCTGTTCTCTTAAACACAATTGTAAAGAATACACTGCTTCAACAGGATGAAAGTTTCCCTTCCAGGTAAGTTGTAGATTTCTTGATTTACGGGAAAATGTTATTAAAAGAGTTATGTGGAGAGTAGCTACTGGCAAATTGTAGGTAGAATCTTTATTAAAGAATTGAAGATAAATTAATTTTCAGAGAAGATAATTCTTACACTGTTAGAAACTGATGGTCATCACAGACCTCATTTTCCTGTTATACAGTTGGAAGAGGAGAGGTTAGAAATGCATACCTAAACAGAAACACTTGGTGCTGCTTCATCTGGAAGTATAATAGTTGGACATTTACAACTGAGGATATACATAGCTACTAATGGGTAATATTTTCTTTCCTTAATGCAATTTACATTGCAGCATTTTAACTTTTTTGTACAACAAGTGTGATGGTTATTTAACTTGAAATGGCTTGAATGGTTCTTATTTACATCAACAGCAGTACTTTACTTTGAAGGATTCCAGCAGCTTTTCATTAACTGCACTGGGGGAATACTTTGACCCTTGTTGATAGGCCCAGAGGATGATGAGTTAATGTGTTGGTTGTTTAATAGCATTTAGCAGTAGCGTAAGATGTGAAGTACAAGGGGATGTAGGTATGTGGAATTTAATTAACCAAACTGGAATTCGGCCGAAACTGAATCAGATCAATGGCCCCAATCTTGCAAAAAGCACAAGGGGGCTTGTAATAGTTGGTAAGTGACCTGAGCTTTCATTTTGATGTCACCTTGACAACTGTGGTGTAAGCAATATAGAACCTACTTTTCTAGGGAATTTATTCAGTAATGTCGTGAAGGATGGTCTGTACCACTTACTAAATTACTAAAGATTACTTCTGGCAGCATTCTGTCCTGTTTTTACGTCTTTCATATAAGGTCAACCTTAGCGTTTGAGAACAGGCAAGAGTACAGCCTGGAGTCGCAGAGCTGCAGGCACAGCATGGTGCAATTGCGTGCCCACTAGAATTTATAATGTGCTGGGTCTTGGTTTTTTATTTCCCATTTTTTTCTCCCCACTGTTGTTGTGCCGGCTGTATGACAGGTTTAATAAGTTAATTAGAAATAGGATCTTGAATACAAAATAGGTGCTTTTTTTTTTTGTATATTTGTTAGCCCATTATAAAGGGGCAGAAATATTCAACATTAGCCAATTTACTGAAAAGACTGATGTGGCAGGTTTTGTATGTGTAAGGTAGGATTTACAGAGCCAAATTCTAATCTGTTCTTTATACCAGCCTCAGGCAGTACAGTTTTTCTGCAGTAAAGTGAAAGATTTTGGTATGTCCTTGTAAGTGATCTTTCAGTATGGATATGGCACAGTCTGTCATTGCTCTCTAGAAAATGTCTAGTCCTTCCTTGCTCTCTAGAAAAGGAATGAAATTTAGTTAGAAATTTAGACAGAACCTAATAATCTTGACATGTTTCTCTTTCGTTGTGTTAAGACATGCTGGAATACTTAGCTTTTGATAAAAAGTCTACTCACCCTGGTCATTCAGGAGTAGCTATTAATGAAACACTTATGTGGCTATCATGTAAAACTATATTAATATAAAATATTAATTATATAGTTATATAACTATATAAATATAGTTAGATCAGTAAGAAATTAATTTCTGGTTCCACTGCCGTATATATTAGAAATCTTTCAAGCCTGCTTCCAACTCCAAGCAGAATTTTTTAGAATATCTAAGTTAGTATGCTTTGCTTTCTTTCTGTGTAAACCAGCAAACAGTGATGGTGGATGTGAGTGTGTTTGAATGTCAATTTATGTGAGTCCACAGGGAAACTGAGGTGGGCTTTTTGTGTGGCTGTTAAAAAGCCATTAACTGTGTTTCCTCTTGACGAGACTGTCCCTTGCATTCCCTTTCCTTCTCACTTCCCTTTGCTGTCAGGAAACACCTTTCACAGAGCAGTAGTTCCACATAGTGCAGCCACGGCATTGGTATGGGGCTGTAACAAAGTTGACAGAGGACTCTCTGTCTTGTTATATTCAGGCAAATGTTTTACTGTTATAAATAATGCATGTTTTAATTGGAAACTGCAAATGGAAACATCAGTCTCTACAGGCTTGTTGATTGCCGTATAATCTGTTAGGGGCAGATTCTGGTTACATGCAGAACACACAACACATTCTCCAGATTTGTGATTGGTTGTTTTTAATAGTAATACCTGTGCTAATGAGTCCCTTCCTATAAATTAAGACAAATGTCATCTTGATAGTCATCTGCCATATATTATTAAAGTTGCCTGAAACTATTAGAAGACTGGGTACCCACTGATGTTCTAGGTTCTATTTCCCTTCCCTTGGTTTTGAAGGTACATTTAACTATTAATAGGGGATGATTTTAAAAGCAGATAATAAGCATAGTCATTTCTTGCCAGATTTCCCTGGGATTAATCACACTGTGCCTGATGTTAGCCACAGGTTTAGGCATGAATGAATAGTTATTGTGGCTAAACTGATACTTGGCTGGAACACTAAGCACATCTATCAGGATGAGCACAACTTTTTGTGCTATTTTAATTAAATTTGTTAAAACACATATAGGCCTCTTCTAAACATAGCATCCTACCAGCTTCAGTAAAGGTGTCCAACAGTTACCTACATGGTGCATAAGTGTGTAAATGCAAATCTGTGTGAAGTCTATTAGTTAACTTTAGGCTAGGTTGATTTTTGCTTCAGTGTGGATCATTTCTGTTTGCATGCATTCACCAGTCTTGTTTGAAACTCATTTAACAGTATCAAGATGAATTTTGCAAATTTCTTAATAGTTCATAGGTATTAAAATAGTAAATACCGTGCCACCCCCCCCAACTTGCAGAACTGTTGTAAAAAGGGGAAACAGATTAGGATGGCACAGTGTAATTTTATTGCTGTTTGTTTTGGGTACCCTAATGTCCTGCTGTTTGTTGGGAAAGGCTGAGTGAGCACTTATACCTGGAATGCTTCTAAGAATTAGAATTTGGAAATAAAGTAGGATTTAAATGTGTGGATCTCATAACTGACTTGGAATCCTTCCAGAAGTGTCTGAATCCTGACTTGAGAAACTGCTGTAGGAACACCGGACCCCAAGCTTTGCATGTCTAGAGCAAGCCAGTGTCCCAGCATAGTTACGCATTGAGTTACAAGTGAGCTAGGTGCCTCAGAATCCAATCCAGAAGATTCTGACATTCAGCAGTGATCCTTTAAGTTAATAGGTAAGGCTGAAAGTAGGATTGAGTTTTACCCTTAATCTTCAGACTTAGGTACCTCTGGCTGGTCATGATTCACTCATGAACTCTTCCCTCCTTCTTTGATGGTTGGAGTCTGCTCTGACAAAACACACCCAGGGAAAGTCCTGGTTTAATTTGTTTGCCTGTATGAGCTTATCACATGGATATTCAGATCACTCCTTTGCACAGGAGGTCAGGATTTCATAGTCTCAGTTTCCCAAGGGAGTGCAGAAAGGTAAAACCCTTTGGAAATGGGGTTTATCAAGTGCTTCTATGAAATTTATGCACTAGGAGACTAGGCTTCTAAATTCTGTTCCATAGAGTATTTAGATCTGTGTTAAATGGAACAGAGATTAAGTCTCATCATGCCATGTAGCATGATTTAAATGCTATGTTGTGTAGATATTCTCTTTTTTTTGTCTGTTGGCTAATAACGTCTGGATTAATCTGTGTGCATAGCAGTAGTTCCAGGTGTTCTCATAGCAATATGATCAGGACCCTTTCTTTAGGGCTGGTGGGCATATTATCAGGCAGAAGAGGGTTCTTTACATTTTTCCTTCACTGAGGTTGCAGAGCAAGTCATGGGAAGAAGTTAGGGAAGGAAAGAGAGTTGTATGCATCAGTCTCTTCAAATATACCAGTTCTTTTTAGGACAGTGGTAAAAATAAGAAAGAATGGTAACTTCTTTCCCTTCTTCCACTAGAAGATTCATTTTGAAAACAAATTTAGGATAGCTAATAAAACTAAAAAGGTAGGAAAGAGAAGTCTGACTTGGATAATATTGCTCAAACCTGATTTTTGTTGTAGGACCAATAGTTAAATTAACTGTACATTCTGCAAGGCAGTAGTATGTGATTCTTGATCATAATTAAACAGGACTTGGTGATATACATGATGTACATTCTTGGATTGCATTGCGTGAAAGCATCTGAATTTTTCAAGTTTATTGAAAACTTAAATCAGTGTTTCTAAATTGACATTCCTCTTCTTAAAGGTGATTCTGCATATAGCAGGAAATGTAAAAGGCCAACAGGAATAAACTGGCTGCAAAGCAGCAGTGTTAGCAGAAACTGTCTCAAAAACTTTTATGGGTTATATTTTCTCTTTTACTGTGTATTGATTATTTTCGCAATAAGCGGCTGCCTGCAGACTCTTAGATACAGAAAACATACGCCAAGAGATGGCATGTGAAGATGAGCCAACAGACGTGGGGTGGGTGAATGTTCCACGCTGTAAAGTGATATTCAGCGTTCTTTGGGGTCATTGCCTTGATAACTCCGCACCCAGTGAGTAATATGGTCATATGACAATGACAGGCCACTGTAGCCTAGGGAGAAGGAAGCTCTTTTTGTGTTCCTAACCAGGCATATTCAAAGGTATGCCCATAAGCTGTTGCTGAGAGTGCTGACTGCATCTAATTGGTGTTAATTTATTCTGGTCTGGATTGTACTGATTAATAGCTGTTGGCCGGAGTAGAGGAATTTTTCTCTTTATAGGTGGGGCTCAGAGCCTTGTCGATTCAAGTCTTTCTGGAGAACAGACTGTCCTGCTATAATTATTAGTAATGCTTATCCCTGGGGAAAGGAAGCTTTTTCATTCCTCTTTTATGTCATAAGGAATACTTTGGCCAGAATTTTATTCTTCTTGCCAGGATGAGTTGGCAAGAAATCATAGCTCCTGGTCCCATCTGTTTCTCCTGTGGCCCTGCCATTGGGGTTATGTACACTAGCAGCTCTTGTCCAGAATGAGGCTGCTTAGGAGGAATTGTTCTCAGATCTTTGCTACTGTCGCACTTGCTGCTTTAGCTTATATTTTTTGGGGGTGGGGGTGGCCAGTGTTATGAAATGCCATGCAATGGTAAATAGCTGCAGTACTGTTTATTATCGTTATTCTTTATTCGTGCTCAAATACAAGGAAACAACAACCTAATAAAATCTTTTCGCTTACTGAGAAAGCCTCACTTCCTCAGCAATCATTGGTGCGACTGGCTGAAGGCGTTTGATTGTTGTCTGAATTTCGGAAATGATGCCTTGGTGATTGGAATGTCTTTTCTTCACTTGCCAGCTGCTGTATGGAGATGCAGCAGTTCCATTTTCATATGGCAGCTTTAATTTCTGTCTTCTGAGCAGAAAGTGAGCAATGCAGCACACCTTTCACAGGATGCAATTAAACCTGCCTTAGTCACTGCTGGAGGAACAGGCAGAAACAAGTCATTTAATAGAAATGTCTCTAATAAAGCTGAGACAAACACACCCTATTAAAGATTTGGGGAAATCTCTTCTGGCAAAAAACCTTCTGCCTAAGGATGGACTTTGCGTGGCCTTCCTTCTATTGTGCTTTCCTTCCTGTAGATGACAGATATGGTTAAATGCTAGCACCAGTCATGTTGTTCAAAATTAACCCAGGTTTTCCTGCACCATGTGTGCAGGCAATGGCTTTACTCCCCACCCTGCTAAAAAGGGTCACCCTGGCTGCTACTGAATCTTCCCAACATGATCTTGCATTAATTTTGAACTCTCCTGGAGCCAGATTGTGATTGATCTTTCCAAACTTTAGTAGATAGAAGTCATGCACTCTGTCTAAAATAATGTATTTGGATTCCTTCAGAGCCAATGGAAGCAGTGTTTATTTCCTGGGAGTAATTAATCCCAACCCGATTGGGGGCACTGGAGTAGCAGAGTGATTGCTTCCTAGATGTAGCCACAGCAGGAAGTGTTCTAACAGCTGGCACCTCTGTTCTCTGCAAACCTAACATTGAAACAGGATCTGTCAAGGGATCAGATTTTCAGTAAAACAAAATGCTGTCAATAGTCAAATGGGTTATTAGAACTCCTTTCTGGGATCTGTCTGAAAATTTCAATGGTTTTTTAAGATTTCCCTATTCAGCACTATTTTTAAACACTAAAATTTTGTTTAAAAGAGTGATGAATGGGGAATTCAGATGAATAAGAGAAACAGTATTGTACATCATGTTTTTCTCTGCTACGTTTTAGAGAGCTCCTCAGACTAAGGTTAGTGAAAGACCTCTACTATATGACAGATTTGAAGAAAAAGTAACACACTGGTACAGATTTTCAAGGCCAAAAGAGATCATAAGGTTAGTGTCCCCCAAATGGCATACCAGGCCATGTTTAGCTCAGAAGATACTCTTAGTAGCCATAGCACAAAATTGCTTTTGTACTATTCTCACTTAGGCAATTTAATGAACAGCAAAACTAAAGAAGGCTCATTTCCATGTGTATGTGTGTCTCACCTCCTTCTATGCCCTCTTTAGGACAAGAGGAAACAGCCTCAGGCTATGCCAGGGGAGGTTTAAATTGGATATTAGAAAAAGTCTCTTCACAGAGAGGATGGTCAGGTATTGGAACAGGCTGCCCAGGGAAGTGGTGGAATCACTGTCCCTGGAAGCATTCAGAAGATTTGTAGATGAGCCCCTCAGTGATAGGGTTTAGCGGTGAACTTGGCAGTCCTCGGGTAACTGTTGGACTTTATGATTTTTAAAGGTCTTTTCCAACTTAATTGATTCTGCGATTCTGTGTGCATTTTTCTGGTGTCTAATGCTGTGGCTAGTTCTTCTGTGGGGAATTGGAGATTCTCTCTTTTGTGTATTTCCACAAAGTATTTTAGGGTTAGTATTTTAGAAACCCCTACTTTTCTGCTGAAGTTAGTTAAAATTTGCCACTGGGTTCCAGAATTAGTAAGAGGCAGTGGACAGACTATGTAGACAGTCTATATAGGGCAAAAAACCGTGCGTTTTATTTTCACAGGAAACTTGGCAACAAACATACGGGTGTGGTGATTTGTTGAGAGTATTGAGAAGTGACTGATTTCAAAGTGTGCTTGGCCCCAAAAAGTATGGAAAGATGCCTGTGTCAGGTCTACCTTGCCTGTTCTCTGTAGCCAAGTCACAGCATTTGTGTACTAGCTTTTGCCAAACAAGAGCTGGCTTGTGTTTTATGAAAATACCGTATCATTTGAAACTGATAAAGGAGTGTACTGCTGCTGTTCAGAATCTCAGCAATGTCACAGTTAAAATGTTGCTTATTTTATTTCTAAACTTGTGTTGCTATTTTTAGCTTTCTTTTTTTGCTATTGATTCTTTCAATGCGTTTCTCTGTTAGGTTAGACAGCCCTCTAGGACCAGCTGGTTTTCAGCTTGAAGGGGTGTGTGTGCCATAATTGGATCATTCTTGATTTCATTTTTGATAAACAAAGCACGCAGAACTCTTTAGGTCCCTATAGTAGGGCATATTCTCTAGCCTTTGTGTTACTCAGGCTCTTCTCTTTCCTCTGTAATTCCAATGAGTGTGGCCAAAAACCAATTTATAAATTACTCTGCAAATTCAGTGTGTAGTATGCCTTCTGGCTGGCACAGAACCTGCAGAAAGAGCGATATCTTATTTCCTATCTACTTTGCACAATAAAAGCATGATAACGTAAGGATGGCCACATCAATTGTGTGTTGTTTTGTTTTGTTTTGTTTTTTCCTTTTTTTCCAGTATGGCCGTGTCATGGTTTAAGCTAGTTCAGTACAAGCTGTAAAACCAGCTAATTTATGAAGTTGCATGTTTATATATTTAGTTTTCCTTTTACAATTCTTGCATTCATTAGCAAGCATTTGTTGAGCCATGCTGTTCCTTTGAGATCCTTAAAGGCCCTGGTCAAAATCAAGCGGTGTGTGCATTCATGAAGATGCTGGTCTTTCACAGCATGTGTCCATTTTTCTCTCTGTGAAGATCAATTTAAATACATTATTGCCAGCTGTTTCTTTCTATGATGTATTTTTTTTATGTGATTAGCAATACTCATTGATTCAACTCCCTGCCCTGCACAGGGAAAGCATCAGGGCTGTTGCATTATATCAACTTGTCTAGCAGGCTAGCATCACAAAAGATTTAAAACCATAAACAGAAAAAGTGTGTATTTGAGCACAGTTTGCTCTTTTAGAAATGCCCTCTGAAGTAGTTGTTGTTTTGGTTTTTTTTTAATTAAAGTAGTAAACAAATGTGGTTTACAGTTTGTCTCAGTTTTATCAAGAGTGGTCATCCTGTTGCGTTTTTCTTGGGTAAATACTTGCACCAGTTTTGTTTGCTTGCCCCGATCTGACACACAAGAGCATCATCATGAGAGACAGTATTAGGGGCTGCTGAACCCTCTTGCTCATGGAACAGTGGCTGTTCCATGCAGACTCCATGATATGCTTAATCCTTAGTTTCTGAGGATGATTAATAGATTCAAACTCACAATTTCAACCTATGTCTAAGCATTAATTATGCAGAGTGTACTATTGTGTTTTTATGAGAAACATTTTAACCTTACAGATTCATTGTTAAGTGCTGGCTGGTTATTTTTTCCTGTGCTGCTGCAGAGCAAAGTAGGTGGCTGCAGCTGTGCTTCTAGCTGGGTGATAAGTTGTATGGGTTTAGGACAATGCTACTGACAAACTGGGTGGGTTAAAAATCAGATTCCTTTGTTGTTACCAAATAGCCAAGCTAGAATGAAATGGCAGTAGTTCAAGCGCATGCTAGACAGACCATATGTTCCTTACAGGGAAATGAAGTGGTGGCGTATATCTGTATTGCCAAGCATAAGGACAACAACTCCAGCTTCCAGAACTGTTGGCAGGATTCCCACATAGAAGAAATGTACTCTTCCTCTATTCTTTAAAAGGCATTTAGGAGTGAAGCCAATGTCTGTTCCTGCCCATCTCATGCTAGAGCAAGGTGTGCTAGGAAAACATACCCGATATAGAAGAGTGGTCATCATTAATATATTTCTACCATATATGCAACAGTTCTAAAATGATCAGCTACAAAAGCTATCTAGCCACAAAACTGTCACGTCTGAAATACAGGATGGCAAAGGATCTTGAGTCATTGAGATTCGTCCCTCTTCTCTCAAGAATTAAATGAATCCTGGTTAATTTATCAAATTATATTTTGACAGTTTTAATTTTTTCACTCAGTTGGAAAGCTTCTCCAGAGCTCTGATTCTGTCCTACCTTAAAGTAATTTTCTAATTCTAACTACAAATTCTAGACCTGTTTTCTATATTTTGATGTCTGTTTGCATATCCTCTGAGAGCTCTTCATTCCTTCCCTGGTACTTCTTTTGAGAATGTTTTCCTAGAGAGAGTGCTCTCTTCAGCAGAGCTTCTCTGTACTGTCTGATAAAACAGGGTTTTAGGCAAGACTTCCTTTATGAAGAAAGTCTTATAAACATGCTCGACATCTTAAAAATGGTAAGTTAAAGAAAAGCCCAGACTTAACAATGTTTACAGTAACTTTAAACACATTACTCTGGATTGGAACCATGTGGTTTCCATGTAGGGTTCTTGGAGTATTTTTTAGGTTATCGCCATAATGGTGAGCAAAAATAATAATGGGAATTGTTAAAAGATCTTCAGTGAAGAAGAAATGTGGGACTCATCACTGAGGATGTACTGTGTCAACCTGTGGGTTTCTGTGAGACTCTTAGCTGAGTAAAAACACAGGGACTAGGCCTAAGACAGCTACTTGTAACCCTATATAAGTTTAGATGCCAGCAAGTGGCAGCTCATTTGTCACTTTTCTAAAACTATAAAGTCTGCAGTAGAACACTTTGTCGAGATAAAAACCCATATCTTTTAAGGGCATGTCATTCCAGTGTTACAATTTGCATGACCATTATGAGTGACTGTACACACCTGAACTGGTAAACCCCCCATAGGAGGATACTTGTATAATTTCAGCCTTTTCATAAATTCCGCTGTCTTTTATGTGGTGCTCTAACTAAATCAGAACAAAGGTAAAAACAAATAAGCCTTGCTGTGACTCAGGCACGGGTAAGATAATAGCAACACAGTCACATGCTGAAGCAAACTGATCAGACTGTGAGAAGTGCAGCTATACACCCTTTGTCACCCTCCTATCCCCACACCCTGTCTTTCACCCTTGGGATCTTTCTCTGCTTTTTTCCAGATCATGATGTTAGGAGCTCTGGTATGCTTTGCAGACTGGGTAGTGGAATGAAGCGTGTGTGCATGTCAGATAGAAGGTAAATCTCACAGGTTTGCTTTGGCTTTGCCTTCTGGCTTGTGCACTCCTGACTTTGGTTATGATGTCATTTGCTAAAAAGCGTAAGCAATTAAGCCATTAGTAATAAGTAATTTCCTTCTTTTTGAATTTTCATGAAATGCTTACATGCTGTTAGGCAGGGTGTTGGCTCTGCGTCAGCCCTGTCTGAAATTGTGTGTTGTGCTGGCTGCCATCCAGGAAAGGAGAGAACAATTTAAACACCTCTCCATGCAGTGACACTGCAGAGAATTGGGAGCTACTAAGCAAGTCTGGCAGTGTGAAAGGCATGTGGTTTAGTGGTTTCCTCAATGCTGACAACAAATGCAAAGGACCAGTTTCATTCTAACACTTTGTGTGTGCTGCAGTAGTAGGAAGCCCACAGAACGAGAAGAAACTAAAATACACCTCAAACTTTGTCACTGATGAGTTTCCCAAGAGAGTATGAGAAACACAGTACTGCTAGAAGGAGGCTTGGGACTATAAGAAATGTCATTGTGTTTTGCAGTTAGACTTCCTCTGTGTACATCAGTACGGTGTTTTGAGGTCAGATCTGCAGCTGGTATAAATCATGACACTGAAATGTTGATGCAAATTTCCCTCATAATCTTTAATTCATTTTTCTAAATCATATGGCAACTGCAAAGCAATTTGTCTTCATTAGTATGAGGCAAAAATCATGAACACTTGGATTATTTAAATAAAAAAAAACACAACGCATCTTCAGATCAAGATGTAACTTAGGTCAGGTGCAAACCACCCAACCCAATCACCTCGATGATGGAAAGTAGTTCAGAATTCAACATTGCTAGCACCAAACACTACAGCAGCATTAGATTTAAAGCCAAGTTGTCTTCTGTTCTTGTGCTGGTGTAAATTTGGGTCATATACAAAGAAATTAGTGTGCTTGCACTGTTTCTGCATTGGTGCAAGTGGAGACTGATGGTCTCCATTGGAGTGTCTGGGCGTCTTCTACAGAGTCGCAATCGCTCTCTATTAAGGGATGATGTCAGGTTAGGATGGTTATTTATAAAACTCTATGTGCTGTAAATATAGCTGTGCTGTTTGAGAGCCACACAGCAAGGAGATCTGTAGCCAGATCTATGTTGCAGACTTCTGTTGGCACAGCAGTATCAGCCAAGGATGTGATCTCTGGCTAGTGAAGCCAGGCTAGGAAAATCTCCTAACACAAATGCAGTTACACCAATGTAACTATTACGTAGTTATAGGGTGACTTTCAGAAGGGTTGGCAAATACGGTCGTTCTGCTGTTGTTGTTGCATCTACAGGAGGGGTGCTCTTCTGGTTGTATGGGCTGAAATAGTTACTCCAGCAAAGGGCCCTATCAGATACATATCCTTTAAGACCTGCCTTCTTTATCACAGCAGTTAATAATTAGCAGGCTTTAGGCAAAGGGGGGATTTGCGGTTTTTTAGCAAACTGTCGAAGGCAGATTAAAGCTGCCAAAACCAGCCTGTGTGAGGCAGTAGTCTCTTCTTGCAAGCACAACATGGAAGAAAAAGTTGTGTTTTACTCATAAGCCTGTAGGTTTCTTGGTTTTCCTTTTGTGGTTATTGTTGTCAAGAGTTACCAAAACACATGATGTATAATACCAAGGAAAGTAGAAATGTTCTGCAGAGATTTAAAAGCACTGACATAATGTTTGGTTTTGAGCAATGAAGAAGAAATACTGCATCTCTGCATATAGATGTTTACCCTGCAGCCTAACTCCCAGTGTTTTTGGAGTCCATCTGTGAACCCAATCCCAAAACCATGTACCTTTCTGGGAACAGCAGATGCTGTTCACATCTAACAGAGCTCTTTTATCCCTCCCCTTCCTTATTTATGAAGACCTTCTCCTGGTCTGGAAAACCCACTGGTGGTCTTTTGCCTAGTTAAAAAGAAATAGGTTTTTAGAATAAACAGGGCTGATAATATTAAATAAGCAAACTGTTGCTTAGAGGGAAAAAAAAAAAGAAAGAAAATCCCACTTTTTCTAGCTGTTTTAGCAACATGCTTTGCAGTAATGCTTCCAGCACAGCAATTTTTAGAGATTTGTAACTCTTCTGCTCTACAATTTGTTGTGGCTTTGGACAGTCTAGGCCCTGGTATCAATGGCACAATTGGGAAAGCGGGACAAATTTGTTCTTATGTGTATGCTAGCACTTGCATTAATCTCTGTTTTTCATGTGCCTGGAATGATTCACATCCCTTCCCTCAAAGTATGGCCTCCATGTGTCAGGGATTTGTTACATTCCAGTCAATGCAACATAAATCCCTATTAGATAGATCGTAATGTTCCTTACTATTCAGCTAGGGTATGTATCTGATGACTGTAGCCATTTACTAGTAGAATTTCAAACAGGCTTCTACTGAAACATAATAAAGCAACCTTTGATTTTTTG